TCAGTCACTTCCGTCACGGCCGCTTTCTTCCGCCGGCGAGACTTTTTATCATTCTCCCCTGGCACGATAAACGGATACGGTCGATCTTGAAAGCAGCCTGAATAGCTGCCTGGACCATCACTCCACTTCGGATAGGACGGCAAAAGAAACACCTTTTCGGAGATGTTCTTTTTCTTTGATTCCATTGCTTCTCGACGCATGCGTGTGTCGGCATCCTCAAAAGCACCCAAGTCTTTATTGCCGTTCTGTTCAGGAGAGGCAAGTGTCAGGTACTTCTTGTCAAAATACACCTCGGCATTTTGTCCTGTGCCACTGCGGCCTATACTCATTCCCTTGCCGAGGTAGCGCGACGGGATGGTGTCCATTTTGTCGTACGGGTCCGTCCGCTTTGGGTCCCCATCTGTCGAGATAAGCGGGGGATCAGAGAAGAGGCCGCCATATACACTCAACTGCGTCATTGTGGGGCCTTCGCTTCTTGTTCCTGCTCGTTTTGTTTCGTCTTCTTCTCTTCCCCCACTCTCACCCACCTAAAAATAAAAACAAAAATAAAAACGTGGTAAAGTTTCCCCTTTTTTGTTTCTCCGTCCGTGGTACTTTTGGGCGGTAGCAGCAAAAGTAATATTATTACTGTGGTGTGTGCCGCTTCCCTTCGGTGATTCACTCCCGCCGGGAGAAGAAGACGCGCATACACAGAGAAAGAAAAAAAAAGCAGAAATCAATCAAAGGAATATATATATATATATATATGGAAAATAAAAGTCAAAAAGGGAAAGGGATGTGATTGCACCCCACCTCCGCATGAAATGCCACCGCGCGCCAAGTGGCACCAAAATGAGCCACACGTCACAACGTCATCCCGACTCCTTTACCTTCACTTCTTCTCCTTCCATGCATGCGCCGTTATTTGTTCCTTCTTTTGTTTACCCGTAGAAAGAATCACGTAGTTTAACATCACAAAGACGGTATTCCACCTTCATTCTTCTTGTTCCTTTTGGACAACAAAAAAGTCATTTACTCTCTCGCACGATGGGCATCACAACAGCAATGTTTTTTTTTTTTTCTCTCTCCCTTTTTTGTGCACTCACTCTCCTTCTCCTCCTCCAGCCTGTGTGTGAGTGTGGCTTTTCTTTCCTTCTCTTACACCCCTTTTCTTTGCCCCTCTTCGTGCTTGGTTTTGTTTTTATTCTCATCAATCGAGCCTGTTGTGCGCATTCACCCCACTTCAATGCCATCGCTTCACGCCGAAACATCCGTCCCTTCTACCTTCACATCATGCTCCTCTTCATCCCTTTCGGCTTCCGCCCACCCCACACCGTCCTCCTCGAGGTTCATGCCGCCAAGGATCGCAGTCGAAGTGGTGCCTAAGGGGTCGATTGGCTGCGCTGCATCATCGGTGGCGGGTGGGGCAGCAGAGCCGAACTCCGCACGGTACGCCTCAAGCCGGGTGCGTATCTCCTCGTCAAGAATCGTCGGCTGGTCAAGCTGTGAGCGCCGAAAATCCTCCAGAATCTCACGGGCCAACTGAACCTCCTGCTCCTGGCGTTGCCGCGCCTCTGCCTGTCGCTGCTCCTCCTCACTCCGCTTCTCCGTTTGAAACTCATCATACACACGCTGCCAAAGTTTGGACTGCCGGTCGTACTCCACAGTATCACGCTGGCCGACCAAAATGAGTCGGCTGATGCTGCCATCATTCACATCCAAGCAGTACGCGCAAACGGTCTTGAGAAACGTCTTTGCAACCGCCATCGCCTGGGACCGTGGCTCTTGGCGGATAAACTCAAATGCCATAGAAAGCCCAGTGGCGAGGGAATGGCGAAGATCCCGCGCCTTCTCTGGAGTGATCGCCTCCTTGTGCGAAACCGCGTAGACAAACGCAGCGCAGTGCAAAAGAGCAAGATTATACTGCAGAAGTGGAAGGTTAGGATTTTCCGCTACAACAGTGGTGAGCGCCGCAATGGCCTCCTCATAGCGACTTTCACAAGCCAAACAAAATGCCAACGAGGATGTCTGTAAAGGCGTTCGCTGCGGATCACGTTCAAGGTAGTCAATGGCCTGCTTGAAGCTGTCACTCAGCGTCTTCACATTGGCCATATGCGCTTCATGGTGCCGACGCACGTAGCTACAGTTCGGACGCACTTCTCCAACTCGATCCAATAGGCACTGGCAACGATCATAGTCCGCCTCCAACCCAAGACAACAAGCGAGGCCATGCGCCGCCAACACATTGCCATTGTCACGGCGCAAGACAAATGCAAAACGATCCTTGGCACTGGCCAAAAAACGACGATTGTCTT